TTGCCTTCCAGCTTGTACTTATTTTCTAGCTGTTTTTTTAGCGGCATATCAACCTCTATGGGCTATTTCATGCCGAAATTTAAATATTTTCTACGCATTTTTTTAATTAATAAATGATACAAGTCTTATTAATTAACCTATAGCTCGGGTAGAAGAGTTAGATTCATATCTTTCTCAATGTTATTTGCGCGTAGGTGAATATAACGAACCCAAATGGAATTGGAACTCGGCTCTCCGGTTAACAACTCCGAGCCTTCATCCATTACACCACCCGCTCATCTACGCTTGTATCAACGAGTATACCCAAGCGGTTAACTATCGACGTTGCTCTTTCTGGCTGTCTTTTCCTTTCTTTCTTTCTTTCTTTCTTTCTTTCTTTCTTTCTTTCTTTCTTTCTTTCTTTCTTTCTTTCTTTCTCTCTATATATCTCTATATATATATATATATAAACAATTTCTCTCTCTAATATTTATATATATATATATATATATATATATATATAAACAATTTCTAGTACTGCCAAATCTAATCAGACATTTGAGGAATAAAAAATATTGGTTTGGTTTGGTTTGTTTTACACCACATCAAGCTCAATGGGTTATTTAATGCTGACAAAACATTTATTATGGGTAATATTTTTTTTTCAAAGATCTATTTCTGGTAATATTTTTTCCTTCAAAAAATCTATTTCTGGTAATATTTTTCCTTCAAATATGTATCACTGGTAATATTTTTCCAAAAAAAATGTATAGCTAATAATATTTTTTTCCAAATAATATATAGCTGGTAATATTTTTGTTCTCAAAAATATATTACTGGCACTATTTCTTTACAGTGTATTTCTGGTACTAAAACCCATCTCTACACATTTATAGTGCTTTGACCCCAGTTTGGGGTTAACTATGTGCCCATAGCTGGGACCCTAACAGCATGGACTTGGGAACACCAGCAATCAAGAGGTGGTTCCACGCTCCTCCAAACCTCCCGATCAGAGGCCCCGCTGTTGGACGTAGTTTATCGTCTTACCCAGGACGCGAATGTAGTTTATCGTCATACCCAGGACAGTATATATATATATATATATATATATATATATATATATATATATATATATATATATATATATATATATATATATATATATATATATATATAAAAGTGAACATAGAAGTCAACACTTAGAGGCGACAGTCTGTTTCATGCTATATGCAATCGTGTGCTGTTATTTTTCTCGGCTATTTATATATATACGGGTCAGAAAAATAAGAAATAAAAAATAAAAATAAATAAAAACAAGCAAAATAATTTAACCCAAATAAATAGATAAACGACTTCCGGTAAAATAACCGCCATAATAGACTACCCACAATGCACCACTGACCCGTATATATATAAATAGCCGAGAAAAATAACGGCACACGTGGCTTGATGATTGCATATAGCATGAAACTGCCTCTAAGTGTTGACTTCTATGTTCACTTTTATATTTACACACGCTCTATCTCTGATATTGAGCACTTTATCCCATAAATATAGCACACCTTAAGACTATATTTCTTCATATATATATATATATATATATATATATATATATATATATATATATATATATATAATAAAAAGGCTTAAACACTAATATTCCATGGTCATAATTTATTCCATTGGAATCGTAAATACGATCCAATTCATCAGACCTACAAATTAATAAAGAAAACAGAAAAAACAACTCCGGAAATAAAAATAGAATTTAGAGAGAGTGTAAGTATGAGAGTGTGGGACGAATAATAGAGCTAGAGAGAGGGGTAACAGACGAGAGAAGGTGGGAGATTAAAACTTAACAGAGAGAAGTTTAGGAGAGGTGAGTGGAAGGGGGAAATATGAATGTTGTCGGATGTCTAATACATTAAAGATACATTTCGTGGTGACATACACACACCATAGACGATATATATATATATATATATATATATATATATATATATATATATATATATATATAAACATAAAACAACCGGTATTTAGTTGCTTAACTTGGTGATCTTACTGGAGCCGGTAATGTGTCCGTAAGACTTATTTTCTGGAATGAAAGAGTTTTTCCGCATACAATTAATTTCGAAACCTTTGGGAGAAAAATTGAACTTTTTTTATTTATCTTGAAAATTAATTGCAGTACTGTTTTTAACAAATGATTTGATTCCATAGAATAGGCATAGGTTGATAGAAAAAGGCTTCTGTTTAGTTCTAATTTTTTATAGCGTTGTAGATGCAAATATTCAGTCTCGTTCTAGAGCAAAGTTGCCCAGTGAATCGAACCTGCTGTACAAGCAGTTATTATCTGCTAGCCATCGTTTGACATAAAGCAACCGATATTTAGTTCTGATAAATCAATAATCCGTACATATCTCTGTTAAAAATTAGAAAAAAAAAAAAAAAAAAAAAACCCAGAGCCGATTGGTATTGGAATTTATTATTAATAAATCAATCAATATCAATCAATAAATAATCTGAAAATATGGCTACCAATTTGCAAATCTAAACTTAGGCGGCCTAATGCTTGTTGACCATCAGCATTATCAAATACCGAAAATCAGTTCGGCTTCGAATTAATTCCTTGTCTGCGAGGTTTGAAGGGTGTGGCTCGGAACAAAGCAAAAAGAAGAAGAAAAGAAAGAAAAAAGAAAAGAAAAGACAACCCCCAAATTAAAATATCTGGAGGCAATGTTTTGTAAATAAATGAAGTAGTAAGTAGACACACAATTAAGAGCTGAACGTTTTCATCGAATCAAGTTATGTCAATTAAAATGAAACTCCTTCTCAAGCTAATCAATATTATTTTTTATTAACATTTAAATTTGGTGTTTATTTAAGTATCTAAATCGGAAGCATATCGCAATTTAAAAAAAAAATCAAGTATATTTTCTCTCTCCAAACAGACGTTTTCCCTTAGATTGATGAGAACCCCATTGTCAAGCATTTCAGCCGCTAGTTCTCTGCTCTATCAAAGCCTGCAGACAAAGGATTACACTGATAATATTCAGCGTATGAGAATATGTTGTTATTAACAAAATAAATTAGATTATAACAAAATCAGTGCTTGATTTAATATTATTCGTCTCTATTTCTGAGATGGGGTATTGTAACTATTTACACTATTTACAAGGGTTGGACTATTGTCCTCATCTTTATTGCCATATTCACGACGTTCCGGCATTCTTCAGGTGATAGATATACTTAGGAATTTCTAACCGAACTATTTATTTCATCCACCGAGGTAGATTGTTCTAGTTCCACGAACCATGCCTTTTCTGCATATCTTAGTTTCAGTTATTTCCCTTTAGTAACTCAACTCTCCAAGATTTTGTTTACTTCTGTGGCTGGGCATTGAACTCTCAACTCTTTGAGTCAAGTTACTGGATTATTTCAACCAACGCTTTTATCTACTCCGGTGGGCGAAATAAAGGGTTCTGTTCGAAATTCTAACGTATATCACCTGAAGAATGCCAGAGCGTACAACGGTCGAAACGTCGTGAATATGACAATAAATATTATTTAGTGCACAGCACATGATAAAGCATAAGATTAATAAAGAGTCAATTTAATTTCTTCTCTGTACCGTGTCCGTTCAGAACATTGGCGATCATGGCTCTCCAAAGCATCCAATTCTTTGTGGCTCTTAACAGTTTTTTTATACTTTTGCTAAGGCTTCCTTCCCCTGTTCTGACATCAATTCACACAAGCTCATCAAGATAGGTGGCTCACTACCATTCCCTATCTCTCGAGCCCTTATTACTCCCTATGAAGTTCAGGATTTCTAATCTTTCCTTTCTAATTATGCGCCCATTGAGTTTCACTTGTATCTTCCTGATTCTGGGCATAAGCGTTCTTTTTGTTGCCGTTTTCTTTAAGACGGCTTTGTTCCTTTCTCGCTGCGTCCATGGATTTCTTAGTATCCTTCAGTAGAATCCTATTTCAGTTGTCTGTAGTTTTCGCCTCACCCTTGAGGAAAATGTCCAGCATTCACTGCCATACAAGAGGATAATTATTGAATAGCAGTCCTCACCATTCCCTTTGTTTCTAACAAAATATTTTCACTAAAATTACGTCGTTGCTCAAATGTTCAGTTCATGATATTCTCAGCATCATTCTGTAGAACAATATTTCTGTTGCTTAATCTGTGAAGAGACTGTCCAGCGTAGAAATCAACCAAACAGAAAAATACTTTGACATCAAAGGGACATACCAGATATGCCAAAGTATTGTCGATCTAACCGAATCTCTAATACAAGTTTGTTTTTTTTTTAAAAAAAATAAGAAAAAAAAGCAGCTCATCACTTACAAAGGATAAAAGTAATTTTGTTTTCAACTAATTTCTTTGTAGGGGGTGATAGTCCATTGAATTCTTAGTATCCTTCAGTAGAATCCTATTTCAGTTGTCTGTAGTTTTCGCCTCATCCTTAGGGAAAATGCCTAGCCTTCACTGCCATACAAGAGGATAATTATTGAATAGCAGTCCATCACTATTCCCTTTGTTTCTTAACGGACATAAAAAGAGGATCCAGAAAAATTAGTAGGAAAGATATATCTCCTCCCTCTTGACCATGTTTCTGCTTTCGGGTACTTCAGTTTTTGTAATGAGAGATATCTAGTAACAGGCTTCCAATATTGCAACAAAGGCTTGCAAATGGCATTAGGTTGGCCAAAAAGTCCGTTCGTTTATTAAGTAAAAATGTTACTTAATAAATCGAACTGAGTTTTTGGCCAACTTAATATTATAAAAGGAACTTTATGGATATATACGCTAGCGTGACTGTGTTCGCGGGGATTGGATAGTTTTTGACATTGGCTTATATACATGAGCGTGGGGATCCAAATTTAAATAGTCCATACGTCACACCTAAAATCTGTGGGAGATTTAGGTAAATAAAAAAGTCTAACATCTTCTGGCCATATTAGTGATATCCGATAAAATAGAAATGATTATTTAAGCACAAAAATATGGCTTACGGCTACATCACGTTGAAATACCGGTTCCCTTACGATACACCGAAGTTAAGCAACGTCGAACCTGGTCAATATCTAGATGAGTGAACGCCTGGGAATACTAGATACTGTAAGCTTGTGTGTGTGTATAATGGATAATGGCCCCGAATCGTTAATCAGAGATTCGAGTTCCAATTGTGTTCGTTAAATTCATTTAGGCGCAAATACACTTTGGAAAGGTATGAGCCGACATCTCCCACCAGTTATCAAGACTTGTATCAATAAACTATCTCCAAAAAATTATTCTAATATAAATATATTATCTGGCTTTAAGTGTTGATCAGCTGTAGAAAATTAATCAATGCCACTATCAATCTTTCTGATTTGAAGTATAAGTCTCCTTTTTGCTTCCATTTTCGTCGTTGCTCAAATGTTCAGTTTATGATATACACAGCATCATTCTGTAGAACAGTCTTTCTCTTGCTTAATCTGTGAGGAGACTGTCCAGTGTATAAATTATTAGGTTGGTGCAAAAATAATGACGTAATAATGTCGTTTTTTGACGTATTTTTTAACGTCAAAAAACGACATGATTACGTCATTATTTTTGCACCAACCTAATAAATCAACCAAACAGAAAAATACTTTGACATCAAAGGGATTTGATTTTCCAAGGGTAGCTTGGATGTGGCACAAGTCCGAAAGAAAGAGGCACCCCGTGAGGATCGAACTCACTCGTAATTGTTCTAGCGAGACAAGCGTGCTAACCATTACACCACCTCGAGGTGCCCAATATAGTTACTTTCCAAGCACAGCCGAATGTATGGGGCATCTAGTGGGGATTGAACTCACTTTTCAGTAGTAACTGATCTAGCGAGACAAGCGTGCTAACCATTACACCACGCCGAGGTGCCCAACGGACATACCAGATATACCAAAGTATTTTTTATTATGTCGATCTAACCGAATCTCTAATACAAGTTTGTTTTTTTTAAAAAAAAAAAAAAAAGAAAAGAAAAGAAAAACAAAACAGCTTATCACTTACAAAGGGTAAAAGTAATTTTTTTCAACTAATTTCTTTGTAGTGGGGGGTAGTGTTTGATTAATTTGAACTAAAACCGATAATGAATAAAACTGTCCCGCCTTCTTTTGTCTGCTCGAATCCTCTCACATTTACGACATAATCTATGAACTTGCACTGTTGATAGCACGGGTATCAGTTTAATTTAAAAAAAAACGGGGGGGTCCTTAATACTTAGAATCAAAAAGAGGGCGTTGAAACTTCTGAGACATATAAGAAGGAAATGGGGCTTGGCGAATTTAACTTTGACAAGACATGTTTAAAGTAAAAGAAAACCAGCGATTAACCTACCTAATGAGTTTGTTTAAATGTATAGCAGAACAGCGATTGTGAGTGATAACAGTGAGCTAAATATTGCTAAGAGTTACAAAGGATAGGGAAATTGTGGACAGCAATGATCGTCAAAATCCTGAAGGACACAAAAGTAAAAGTTTCGTTACAAGCTTTAAGATTAGTAGTTATAAAAGAGGCTCAGAATTATATCAGAAGAAGCAATACATATATAGGGTGTTCCAATAACTTAGACCGAATTTAAACGCGAATTAAGTTTAAGTGTCTAATGATTTCTTTCTTTTTCTTTCAGATTTAACAATTTAAGTCTTTGGCAATTTCAACCATGGAAAGATTAACAATCAAACGTGTTAAAGTTATCGAAGCCTATTATCAAAATGGACGTTCAAACAGAAATGCATTTCGCGTACTTCGCGATTTTTTTGGTCAACATAATCGACCAACCGGGAGTGTAGGAAAAATTGTTCGTAAATTCAAACAAGCTGGGTCGGTGGAAGATGTGAAAACACCACTGCGTACTCGTTTACGCCGTTCAGCTGAAAACATTGCTGCAGTGCACGAGAATGTGGCCGAAAATGTAGACACCGCTATTCACCATCGTGTGCAGGAACTGAACCTCTCCACGACAACGTTACATCGAATTTTGACAAAAAGATTTGTTTCTACACGCTTACAATATTCAACACAAAAACTGAAACCTGCTGACCATTTGGAGCGCTGTACATTCATAAATTAGGTGCACGAGCAAAGACCAACCGATGAAGATTTTTCGCAAAAAAATCATCTTTAGTGATGAAGCTCATTTTCATCTTGCTTCAACAACTTCTGCTTATTAACAAATAAGCAGAAGTTGTTGCATTTGGTGAAAAAAAATCCAAGGAAGATTATTGAAAAGATACTGCGTCCACAAAAGGTCATTGTTTGGTGTGCATTTTTGCTAATGTTCACCTAATACAGGGCTCAAGGGTCACTTAAGGTCGAAGGTTACTGTGTGGAGTTGTTTTAGTGTAAGAAAGGGCGAGATAACAGGAAAGTTAGACAGTTAATTCCAAACTCGAAGAGGTTAAAAATTTAATCAGCGAAAAAAAATTCAGAGTTCATGCGGAGACGTTAGGAGTATAGAATTCAAGTAGAATTAGGACTAACCGAAAACCCAATCCTAAGCAGGAAACAAAAGATAAAGCTTTACTCCCGTTCAAAAGACCGGAGAGGCGTGTGAACCGGGCAATAAGTGAATCTATTTACTCCTGTCTATATTTTATAGCTTATGCAAAAGCGCTGGATTAAGTACGCCACAAAGAACTATTCGAACTATGAAGTAAGCTTGATTTATTGGATCCTGAATGTATATTGGAAGCAAACCGACTGCATGCCGATCGAAAATTAATTCAGTAATTACACAAAAATAGAAAGGCGCGTAAGGCCAGGATGTAACTTCGCAGCAGACTTATTCAAATTTTACAAAGAAGAAATCCTGTTAGAATTAGAAGTCTTATCTAGAAACTTTATTGGCGGCCACAGTCTTAGCAATATTAGATATGCAGATGGCACAGTGTTGATAGCAGACACAAAAACGAAATTCCAAGAACTCCTACAGAAGATAGAAAAGGAAAGCAAGAAGAAAGGACTAACCATCAATTGCAAAAAGACATAATGTATGGTTGTCAACAAAAGGAACAGCTCACTATGCGAATTGCAAATTCGAGACACCTAAATCAAGCAAGTACACAAATTTAAATACACCTGTTTAAGAGAGGACGGTAAATGCGATATCAAAATCCGTTGGCATGTTGGAATATCAGAAGCTGTCTTTCAAAAGCTAAGTTACGTATCAAGAAACAAGACAAATTTCGTTAGAAACAAAGAAAAGACTATTGAATTGTTATGCAATATCGCTCCTCCTATATGGTAGTGAATGTTGGAAAATCTCATCACAGATGAAGAAGAGACTTCAGACAGCAGAAATGTGGTTCTACAGCAGGATGTGGTTCTACAGAATATTATGGACACTGAACATGTCATTAACGAGGAGGTTTTAGGAAAATGAAAACAAAAAGACACGTATACTTCGAATCAGAAAGAGACAGCTAAAATTCTAGGGCACATGGTGAGAAAAGAGGGCTTAGAAAATTTGACACTCACAGGACATATTAAAGGCAAGAGGGGCAAAAGAAAGCACCGCATGACCTACCTAATAGAATATAAATGCTTAATAGCATAGAAATTAGGAAAGATAGCAAAAAGACAAAATTTATTAGGAGCTATAAAGGAAAGGAAATTACCCACGCCTTGAAAGGACACGGAACAAAGAAGAAGAAGAAGGAGAAGGAGGAGTTAAAATTCGTAACAAACAACGATGCAATTGCCCTGAAATACGGCTTTGATCTTCGGCTAATCGAAATTCTCTTCTACCGTGTTAAAAGATTTTACTTTATTTTTAACATATAGTTAAATTGATTAACTCCCAAAGATGGGTTTCTTAGATGAATTACTATTAATTTTTTTATTCGTATTTCTTTCGTCTTATTTCTATTGCTTTTATTTCCAATAACTCTATCAAGTGGAATATTTTTGTAAAAATTTATTCGATGCAGCCTTGTCATTATCATTTATTTTTGACTGATGCGTTCTTTCATTGTTTTTGTTTTTATCGCATCGCCTATGACCGTTGAATAAACGGCACACTAATCGAATATAAAAAAGTAAATGTTTGTTTTGAATATCTTATACATTTTACGTGTAACAAATAAGAAGCCACTGTTTGGGGGGGGGCACAGTTTTTAATATTCCTTTGTAATCTTTTCCACGGTCTGACAAAAAAAAACTAAAACAATGAATTCGTAAAAACATGGAGACTATTCAATTTGAATTCTACTGTTGTTCTCCAGAGGTTTACGCAACTTTAGTCGATAATATACAAAAGCACAAACTTATTAAAAGTATAAATACTTTTGGCGTTTAAATAATGCTATCATAATTTTATTTTAATTATTTATTTGAGAACAGCGAAATGATTTTCATCATTAATGATAACGAAACTAACATTAAAAATAGCATATAGATAGATAGATAGATAGATAGATAGATAGATAGACAGATAGTATTAAATTGTAAGAGTTTTTAGGTGACAAAATTCCTGGTTCTTTTTCCGTATATTACTGGTAGAAAGGGATTTTAGCCAGGCAGGTTTTAGTCATAAAGTGCTTGATATCAAAAGGTAAGGATAGAGCGTCAATTCTCAACATTAATTATATATGTGCATGTGTGTGTATTTGTATGTGTGTGTATGTTTGTGTGTGTGTTTGTGTATGTGTGATTGTGTGTCTGTGTGTGTGTCGGTTTATGTTTGTGTGTGTGCGTGTGTGTGCATACGTACTCAGTTGTGGACAGATTTATTCAGCCCCACTTTCATAATTACAAATAAAGTAACAATGTCTCAAATTTTCATGGAAACTTGAATACACATTTTTTCACAAATGATTGCATAATGGATTTGAAAGAATGTACAACGATGGCCACAATATTTTTTTTTATTTCAATGTCAATCAATAATACAAAATAGCGCCAAAATCGTTTAACATAAGGGCTTTTTGTAATAAAAGAGAAACTGCCAAGATTTTAATAGATAATACTAATATATATATATATATATATATATATATATATTCATTAAATACATATTATATATATATATATATATATATATATATATATATATATATATATATATATATATATATATATATACATTTTGGACATAATT